AATGCAAGTGAGACCTAAGTGAGGCAGGAGAATCTGCTAGTTGTTACAAGAGAAAACAGAAGCGATCCTAGATGGGAAACTGTACTTGTATCATGAGAGGACTAATCAGAGTTGGAGAAGTAATGGTCCATTGAGGAACTCTGGATGGTGAAAAATGACATCAAAGTTCATATGGGATTTCCCATTTCACAGTGGACCTGTCCACTTGGATTTATTGAAAGAAAAGTCTGAGAAGAAACTGAAACACACAAGCTAGAGAAGTGATGAGGTATCCTGTAGCCCCCAGGTTGCTAAGATATCTCCTTCTTAGATTCTGGGACATGCTTTCATTTAACTATGGGCATTTGGATCATTGGAATTCACTTGTTATATTTTGCAGTCAAAAATCTTTCTGCTCCTCTTCCTTGAAGGTCACTGAGCCTTTGAAGAAAAGGTATGATATGTATGTCCCATTTAATGCTGGGCACTCCATGGTCTCTTATTTTCTGCACATTGACTGACAGCCTAAATGCCAATCAATTGATGAATGGGTAATGAAAATGTGGCAAAAACAATGAAATATCATTCAGCTGTTAAGAAAATAAAATTATAAGAGCCAGCAATATTTTTTATTATGGTAGTTATTAGAAAAACAAGACAAATAGTAAGTATAAAATATAACTGACATATTGACTAATAGGTTAAAGAATAGAGAAAACTTAGCCGGGCAGTGGTGGTACACACCTTTAATCCCAGCACTCATGAGGCAGAGGCAGGCAGATCTCTGTGAGTTCGAGGCCAGCCTGGGCTACAAAGTGAGTTCCAGAAAGGCACCAAAGCTATACAGAGAAACCCTGTTTCAAAAAACAAAACAAAAAAAGCCAGAGAGAGAGACAGAGAAAGAGAGAGACAGAGAGAGAGAGAGAAGAGAAAACTTAAGTTAATGAGAGAAAATGTCTGAAAACTCATAGAAGCCAGAGGAAGAGCAAAATATTACATGAAGGAATAAGAAGTGTCTGGACAAAATAGTCCATGCTGGTACTCCCCAGCAGGAGGTTGAAGGAGGAGGATAGTTTATTCAAAGCCACCCTGAACTACATGGAATATTCAAGGACAACTTGGGTTGCATGGGATAGTGATGTTTCAGAAAATGCATACCAAATATGTTTTTGTAGGAATTCCACAAACCAAGAAGTAAGAAGAAAATAATTAAAAATTAACAAAAATATTCCTAAAATTTAAGAATATTCTGATCCTCAGATATATTCTGGTCCTAAGATTGTTTCATGCTGTATAAAACTATTAGAAATAAAATTCATTACAGCTGTAGACAGTTTTGAATCTTAGGAGAAATATAAGAAGTTATCCAGTAAAGTTAGTTTTCCCATGCAGTAGAGCCGAACAAATTCTAGGAAACAGAAAGCATATCTTCTTCCAGACCCTGACACTTCCAAAGAGAGGATAACACAATAAAAGCAGTTATTCTCAGTCAAAAACAATGAGAACTTGGGATTTTCACTGGCGCGTGGGCTGAGGACACCAGGGAATAGCATACTGATGTGGAGAAAAGCTCAGCTATGAGAGAGGCAGATGTTTCCACACATTTGTACCATGAGAAAAACCATGCCTCTTTCCCCACATTTTCTTTAATATTGAAACAAAATACCTAATAACACATTCATAATGAAATAGTCTGAGCAAAATATCCAATGATACATTAATAATGAAATGGTCTTATTTTCTTCTATGTAGCTGGCTGATCTTCCAGAGGACCTAAATTCAAACCTGAGCACCTACATGGAAGCTCACAACTATCTGTAATTCCTGTCCCAGTGAATCCAGTAAGTACCCTTCTCTGACTTGCATGGGCACAAGGCACACTCACATGGTACACAAACAGACACACAGGCCACCAGAAATTCTTTCCTAAATCATGTTTATGTTTACTCCTAAATTTTAATTAATTATAATTTCGTTTCTTCTCTTTGTTCCTTAATTTTGAAAGTAGTCCTGAAAGACAAATATGCTCTATTGTTTTCTTTCTATTGCTATCTACTTATGCCAATATTATATATGAAATGAATCTTCCTCCTGTATGATAAATTGCTACTATTTCCTTATAAAATAATCCTATTTTCTCCTTTTCAGCTCAGGACCATTCACCTGATCCTCTAATTCTTCTCCACCTTCCAGTTATTTTTACATGTTACTCATCCCACAACACATGAATAAACTTTACTGAATTTGCTTCTGAATGGCAAATTAGTCATTATATTAGAACAAATAATGTTTTATGATAATTATTCTTCGATGCAGAAAAAGCAATTCAATTTTGATGATAATTCAATGCAGCCATAATTTGTTGGTGCTGTTTCCTCTTTAAGAATGGGGGGTGGATGTAGAAGTAAACAAAATAAGTAGGAAGACACTATACAAGAGGAGAAATGGAGACTAACCATTGATGCATTTTGTGGTGAAAAATAAGAAATATGAAGAGTTAAGCAGATCCATTGGACAAACTTGACAGACTTTGTGCAGCCTTTGAGAAGACAAAATGTAATAGTTTTCATTTTCCTCTTTGAATTCTCATGATTTTCTACTTGGTAAATTTTTAAGGGGAAATCACTCTGTATTCTACTCATTTATTGATGACACTGTGAGAAAATCACCTTCAATACTGCCCCACTTACTCTTTCTAAAAAAATAACAATGACAACTTCCTTACATGGCATTTTTTTTGGCACAGCAGTTCCTACTACTGAATATAAATGTAGAATGACTTTTTCAATTATAGCAGTGGTAAGAAGGGGGGTGAAATGTTGAGCAGAATCTGTAAGAATCCCACTGGGCACTGACTGTCCCTGACCTGAGGATCTACGGAACAGAAGGCACAGAGGATGATCTTCTGTCAATTGACCCCAGGAGGGAAGTGTTTTCTTTCCATTATTGAGAGAATAGAACCTCAGTGGGGCTCACATTCCCTCCAGGATGTTTCCAAGGATGGTTATAAGAACTCTTTAGAGATGTTGGAAGAAGAGATACAGCGATACTCAGGGAGAGAAGAAAAAGCCCGACTTTATTTGACAGAGGTGAGTTTGGGGTTCCTGAGGTCAGGGGAGAGTATTCATTTCTTTTACTTGAAATGAGGCACTCGGTAACTGGATGCTGAGGGTTCAAGTAGGGAGAACTTTTAGAGGTGTGGAATTTGAAATTATGAGAAATTTCATCTTTGGAGCCGTAGGCTCTGTAGAATTACATGAGAAATAGCAGTCAGTTATGCGTCCTGTTCTCAGCTTCATGAATGTAAATGATGACACTTTCCCTTCCCACTTATTCACTTTACAGATCACTTCTGTTTTAATCGTGCTTTTAACTCCAATTCAAATGTTTCCATTAGAAAAGAAGTTAGTTCCAAGTGCCTAGAATCTATCCCAGGTAAACTGTGCCCTAATATAATCTACTGACACTAAAAAAAATATATCATGAACTGCAGTGACAGTATCAGAACTGTGATAGAGACTACCTGGAAAATGCATGTGTAAAAATAAACTAAGGAGTGTGTGTTTGTGTGTGTGTGTGTGTGTGTGTGTGTGTGTGTGTGTGTGTGTGTGTGTGTAAATATACAGAGGAGATGACAGTAGCAATATTCAGTAGCCTTCTCATGAGAGACAAGAGTTGAATTGAAACTAGAGGATAGATCGGAGTTGGCTGGGTAAATAAGTGTGAGCAAAGGGGCATCCTAGGAAGAAAGCTAAAAGTCACCAAAGCTCTAGAATATATCGTGGTGAAATTTGAAACTGCCACAGTGAAATATGAGAAAGTAAAGATGGAGAATATTATAGAGAACTGTCAAAAGCTTGAGATTTGGGATAATGGAAAACAATGGGAGAGTATTTTCTTCAACAGAAAATGTGTATTGATGAGATTTTAAGGATCAAGACTCGAGTGTTCCTGCAGACATACAGAATGAGTAATGAGCATGACTTTCAACACATGAAAGTACAAAACAATGATCTAAATAACAAATCATCTGGAAAACTTCCCTATAGGAAGATAGAACACACAGGGAGGATGGTTTAGTGAAAATCAATAACAAAATCCTTCCAAGAGTAGCAAGCTGCTATGCCTGATTCAAAAGTATAATCCTAAGGACTGAGGTTTCTATTGCTTTTACTATTATTATGGCTGGTATACATAAGGCAGAATGGTTTCTGAATAGCAAAAAGGAACAAAACTACCTGACAAATGATTGAAGAGGGAATACATTCTAAAGATGACTTAGCTAACATAATTCTCCCAGGTAGCTGGTCTATAAAGGAAATAAATATCATACATATCAATAATGGGTTCTTTCATAAATTAACTCATTTGACTAACACTTCTCAACAAAAGTAGTTTTCATGCCCAGTAGAACATATAAAACTCAGAGAAATTATGTAAGCTGCCCATTCTCCAGTTAAGAGTAAACAGAATGAAAATTCATTCAGGCTCCATATGTTTGACATGAATCCACTCTACTAACCATTATAATATGCTTACCCCAAAGCAAAATTAGAGATATAGGCAAGTTATTGTTTGTTTTGAATCTTAGAAATATCAAATTGCAAATGCCATCTAAAGAAAGTAACATTTACAAATTATGTATATGAATTATATATAATATGTGTGTGTGTGTACATGTTTGCATGTGTGTGCACCAATTGGGCACATGCACAGGTGGAAGATAAAGGTCAATGTTAGGTGTCTTCTTCCAACCTTCTTTTTTTAGATAAGTACTCCCACTGAACCAGAAGCTTAGGGATTTGGCTAGCTGGCTGGCTAGTAAGCTTCTGGGATCCTCCTGTGTTGACCTCCCAGCACTGGTAATATAAACATAGATATCCACAGCCAGCATTTTCACATGGATGCGGTGGACCTGAATTCAGGTCCTCATGCTTATGTGACAAACATAAGCCATCTCTCTCCCAGCCTCAATATTTACATTTGTACTGCTCTGACTTCCTTCCACATCAGTTGAGTATGGCCTTTCTCTTATTCACAGGTCACTCAGATGGGGATATGGAGAGTAGAAACCTATCAGCAGTGACTGTATTTGTCTTCACTGCTTTCCCGCAGCTCCAGGATGGTGGCCTCCTGTACTTTTTCCCTTTACTTTTCATCTACATCTTTATTGTGGCAGGAAACCTGATAATCTTCTTTGCTGTCAGACTGGACACCCGTCTTCACAATCCCATGTATAATTTCATAAGTATCTTCTCGTTTCTTGAGATGTGGTATACAACAGCTACCATCCCTAAGATGCTCTCCAATCTGATCAGTGAGCAAAAGACCATTTCCTTCATTGGCTGCCTCCTGCAGATGTACTTCTTCCATTCCCTTGGAAACACTGAAGGGACCCTTCTGACTGTCATGGCTATTGACAGGTATGTTGCTATCTGCAAGCCACTCCGCTACCCTAACATCATGACACCCCGGCTATGTGCTCAGCTCACTGCTGGTTCTTGTATATTTGGCTTCCTCATCCTTCTACCTGAGATTGTATGGATTTCTACTCTACCTTTTTGTGGTCCCAATCAAATCCACCAGATATTCTGTGATTTCACCCCTTTGTTGAAGTTAGCCTGTACAGATGCCTCGGTGATCCTGGTTCAAGATGTGATTCATGCCCTTGCTATTTTGGTAACAAGTCTGATTATTTCTCTTTCCTACATAAGAATTGTTGTTGTTATCCTGGGCATCTCTTCCACAGAGGGTCGTAAAAAGGCCTTTTCCACCTGTGCTGCGCACATCGCTGTCTTCCTGTTGTTTTTTGGCAGTGTGGCCCTTATGTATCTTCGATTTTCTGCCACTTATACACCATTCTGGGACAACACCATTGCTCTTACATTTTCTGTATTTGCTCCCTTTTTCAATCCTATCATATACAGCCTGAGAAATAAGGACATGAAAGATGCAATTAGCAAACTCTTTTGCTCTCAAAAGGTGTTCAATGAATCAAGTAGGTAATTTAAGCTTATTCCTTTTTAACCTAAATAAAATCATTTCCAAAAAAAAGAAAGAAAGAAAAGAAATAAAGATCCCAAAGAATGACTGTAATTTAAAAGATTTTATCAAACACTTTCAATGAGCTAATGGATGGACACATAAATTGTATCTTCTGAGAATTCACAGAGATTATTTCTCTTTCTTACATAACAATTTTTATCTTAATTTCCCCAACCACTGAAAAGTGTGTGTGTGTGTGTGTGTGTGTGTGTGTGTGTGTGTTCATTTTGTTCTTTAACTCCAGAATGGTTAGGTTATGGTTAGCTATGAAGAACATTCATAGGCATTACCTTTCTGACTCAACCTCTTGGCCATTGTTATCTACATCATTATCTTCACAATAACCTTAGAGTCATTATAGACTCATGCTGCACCAGAATGCATAGTAACTCTCTCTGTTGTTGAGTGATTAGTCCAAAACCCTTTAACAAGTCTCAGAGAAAGAAACTTCCTTGCGTCCAAACTATAGGCATTTTCCTTTTGTCTTTGTCTCCTTTCCATTAGTGTTCTAACTGTTTAAGACTCATGTATCTCTGTAATGTGATTATAACATTTCATCAGCCCAACATCAGAGGTAATATTTGGTATTGTGTCAGTCACTATAAAAAGAAACTGAATTTTTATAGAAAGTAAAATGAGTAAACTGAGATTGAATAAATACATGTATTTCATTTATCACTCTAAAATATTTTGCATCTTTTCCCTTGAAAGTGGCAAAATACATAATTTTGTAATATATTTAATATTACACATATATGACTTGATAGCTCATTTTTGTAAAACCTGGAATTTTATGCTAGGGTTTGTGTATTTGTACAGTGTTTATTATAGCTTAATTATGAGATATTATACTAATATGTTATAAATTTACTTGAACTTGAAATGTTATAGGTTTCTCCATCTTATAAATCCAGTAATAGTTATATTCTTGGACAAAATTCCTTTCCTAAAATGTTGCTTCAAGATAAATTTCAAGAAGTCGGTATATTACAGAAAAATGTGTGAAAATATTTACCATTATTGATAAAACATTGGCTACAAACAGTTGTATAACTGACACATGAATGTAAGACTGTCAGTATGGCTTGTAGAATGATATTTGATCTATAGTCTAAACCTGATCTCTATGTTTTGTGGAGTCTATTGATCATTGATGAGCTGAAGTTGTAATGTAACTAAAAGAGGATTCTGATTATGTTGAATCAAAGGTTTCAGTTCTACACATTCCTATAAGAATTATAAATTCATAACCGTGCAATGAATGGGCTTTCAGTGGGCTGTAAGTACCTTCCTGTCTCATAATTCTACATTGATATTTCTCCTACTTTGCTATTGAGGAGTTAATGCATAACCCTGTGATTCTACATATTGTTTCTTAGTTGGTCTTGCCCAGGGTAGTTGCTTTTCTCTCGGCCTTATATCTAGCCTGAGTTATTCTTCCTCTTTCCTTAGTTTCCTCTCTACTTTTTCTTCCTCCTCCTACTGTTTCTATTGTGGGGCCCTCTAGATATTATCATGTGTAAGGAAACTCTCACCAAGGAACAAAAGTGGCTTCAGTTCTAAGAGTGGACAGCTGGATCTTCTATCAAGTCTTTAAAGTTGAAAAGAAATGGCCTTCGGGATATTGAGAAGAAGCCAACCCAGATAAACCAAAGTGGATTCCCTACTGAAAAGCGTGGGTGGGGAGAAGGAGAATTGAAAAGAACAGAGCAAACAATCAAGAGGTGGAGAATGGGAAATCACAGGTGGTGCAGAACAGCAGCTCTGTGTGGATAGATGAGACCACTGTAAAAGTGGAATCTGAAGCAGGTCAGAGGAGGGGTCTGGTAGAGGGTGATAATGAAGACTGAGGAGATAACCACTTGGAGTTTATCAAAGATGATGAAAATGTGTCTGAGGAAGAAGAGAATGACAAAGACAATGCCGATCATGGGGAGACACTTAAGTACATATTGGGCTTTAGAAGTCTCATCTCATTATTTCTTTACCTAGACATTTGTCTAATATGAGAACATTACTAGAGCTTCCTTGTTATCTTCTGCACATTCTTAATATTTCTCTTTTTATCTTTCCTGTGTTTAATCATTCATATGACCCCAGACCTGGCTCCTCTTTCATTTTTATTCTATTATATGTTTATTAATACTTATAATTGTATTTATAACCAATATTTATTAACATATTAATTTTTATTCTGTCTATTTTTGTTAATTTTTATTCTGCAATTTTTGGTTTTAGTTTAGACACCTCTTTGGTTTTCATTTTGATGCATTTTTATGATAATAATGTAGCATACTTATTGATTTAAAATCAGCCATAGTTGCTTCCCTGCATGCAAAGGAAATCTCATTTAGTTGTAGCAGCTTAGAGCAACTTTTAGTTAGAGCAATGTGTGCTATCTCCCATGAATAAGTACCCTGTGGGACTTTTCAACACAAATGCAGCAATGTACTTGTGTGAATGGGACTTAGTCTGTGAAACATGCCCTTTAGAAAAATAGTGTAATAATCATTATATTTTTTATTATAAAGGATACTGTTGATATCTTCATTAGTCACCTGATTCTTTGAGCCTTTTTTCTCAAAATAAAAAAAAAATCCCTTATTAAAGCAGTAATCTGGAAGCAGAAAGGTGTCTATATATTTCATTAATCTTATAATATTTGAAAACCTAAAAGAATGGTGTATGCGTGGTGTGTTACAACTTATAAATGCTAAATATTTCAATTGATGAATTTTTCAATAAGTTTAAAATGCAAGTAATAAATTTCCTAGATGTGGTGATATACTGTGTACCCTAATAAAGCTTGCCTGAGGATCAGAGGACAGAACTAGCCACTAGATTAGACATAGAGGTCAGGCAGTAGTGGCACACACCTTTAATCCTAGCACTCCAGAGGCAGAGATAAGTCTGGATCTCTGGGAGTTCAAGGCAACCCTGGACTACAAGAGATTGACTAAGTCTAGGAGAGAAACAGAGCCAGATAGTAGTGGCACACACCTTTAATCCCAGCACTTGAGAGCTCACGTCTTTGCTTGGGAAGCACACATGCCTTGAATCCCAGGAAGTAATATGGCAGGGCACAGAAAGGTATATAAGGCATGAAGAGACAGGAACTACAGGCTCTTTTTGTCTGGGCCTTTCAGAGGCTTTCAGGATTGGCTGAGAAGTTGGCAGGGAGAAATTGGCCGTGGCTTGCTCTGCTTCTCTGATCTTTCAGCTTTTACCCCAATATCTGGCTCATGGTTTTCTATTAATAAGACTGTTTAAGATTTGAACAATACCTAGATATGTCATTATATATGAATGGGAGACCACCAATATTTAAGTATATATTTAGTCATCATATAATACAATGTTATTCATTTTTAACAAAATCTTTCTTGAAGTTAATAGACTGTTTGTTTTATAGAGTCTCAGAAAACCAGATGCAATACCCAAAATATTCTAGTGTTAAATTTAAATTTTACTTTGAGAATAACGTTTTAAGATGGGGAGGGTTCCAGCAGATACTGTTGACTCACCTGCTTTATCAAACAATGGTAATGGAATCTGATGTTTTCAGTTTCATTATTTTTGCCCATTTTTCTTAAGGGGTCTTATCACTGAAATGTAATCAGGAATATCCTGGAGCTTTGGGGGTAACTATTTCTGTTTCCTAGTCACATTTTCTTTGAATGGGTAAACATTCAAGAAATGATTTAGAGATAAATTTTCTTAAAATAAACGTCTAAGGGAATCATCTGTTTCCTTAAGAGTCAAGTAAACTCAAATATAAAAGAGGCTAAATTATGGGCTTACAATTAGGAAGCAGTTTTAATACAATATTAACATTAATTTGAAGTAATCAATCTGAATACATGAATTTTAGAAAAAAATTTCTAGCCCTCACTTCTTATATGATATACTACTCAAAGAAAAAAAATGTCATTTGTTTCCCTAAAATTCACACATAGGTTTCCGTTTTTTTCCAAACAGGAATGAGGGTTTTTTGAAGAAGAGCTTCAAGGGGAGAACAAATTCAACTGATTGTGGGAAAGTTGAGGCTATGATTTAAATAGTCTTATAAAGTCATCATATGACACTATTAATTTGCCTGTCATTTGTCTCTATTGAGAAGTCCCGACTTCAATGCACAAAGGATAAAAAGCAAAAGAAGATCAACACTATTGTCCAAAATTTCAATAAGCAATAGTAGGTGGAATATTCAAATGGTCACTCGATTTTTCTAAACTAAGCTGACTGGCCTGGGAAAAAGCAGAAGTCAGCCCAGCCTCCCCTCCCTCCATTGTTCCACAGATCTCCCCTCCTTTCCTGTACCAACATCAGTCAAATCTGAGTCTTAGATCTTCTTCATTTTGGTTCATTAAAACATCAGCCCATTAGGAGAGGCACAGAAAAGAGGGCAAAAAATAAATAAAAGAAGAGTATGTTGATTCTCATGTCAGGAATTCCCAAGCCCATTTGAAGTGAGCTGGAGATCCCTGGACCTGAGATTCTGCTAATTATTAGCCTGAGCTGGTTTTCCTAATTGAAGACATAATAGGGATGATTGTTTTTCTACTAATCTTGAATCATTTATGTTCGATTCCCAAGAGAGTCAATCATTTTCCTCATATTTAAGAAACAAAAAAGGGGGGAGAAAGGGGAGAGAATCCATGAAGAGAACCAGATCTATTGTACCACTGACTGATGAAAGAAATTTGAGTTTAGATAGAGGACTCAGGGTGGAAGTTAGTTCTCCATTGGTAGTTAGGAATCTCACTCACATCAAGGGAGCCAAGATAGAGTCTTCCTTCATGTTTATTCTGACTTTGGACCTCAACAGCCACAAGGTCAGTGGATTAACTATTTGGAGGGGTGATGGGAGAAATATATAGGGAAAAAAAAAGAACCACCCACAATAGTAACGGACAATGCCACCAGGTCTGTAGATACTGTGAGTAGTTTTGGGGATGGCTTTTGGGATGGGATGAGAGAGTACTCTAGG